ACTATGCTGTTTCATAGGGTAACGGATCCTTCTTTTTCACAGCTGCATAGTATTCCATGGTGTAAATGTCCGAGAAGATGTTTGACATGATTTCAATCTTCTTGAACTTGTAGAGACTTGTTTTGTGTCCTAACATGTGGTCTATCTTTGAGAATGTCCCATGTGCACTTGAGAAGAATGTATATTCTGCAGCTTTGGGGTGAAATGTTCTGTAAATGTCAATCAAATCCATCTGATCTAGTGTGTCATTTAAGTCACTGTTTTCTTGCTGATTTTTTGTCTAGAAGATCTATCCAGCAAAGTCAGTGGGGTGTTAAAATCTCCTACTGTGACTGTATTGCTGTCGATCTCTCCCTTAAAGTCCTCCAGAAATTTTATATATATATATATGCTGTCTACAAGAGATCCACCTCAGAGCAAGATTAATATTGTTTCCATTCCTGCTAACATAACATCCACTTTCAAGTTTTATTATTTAAGAAATATATTTTAAAAATCTTTATTGTTGAGAGTATTACAGCTCTCCCCCTCTTTTACCCCATTGCCCCCCTACACCTGGTCCCCACCCCGCCCCAGCCCTTTATCACCTTATTGTCTGTGTTCATGGGCAATGCATTTATGCATATAAGTTCTTTGGTTAATCTCTTTCTGCATCCTGTCTCCCCTTCCCTCTGAGATTCGTCAGTCTGTTCCATGTTTCCATGCCTCTTGTTCTATTTTGTATTCCTAAGTTTATTTTGTACATTAGATTCCACATATGAGTGAGATCATGTGATATTTGTCTTTCTCTGACTGGCTCATTTCTCTTAGCATAACACTCTCCAGGTCCCTCCATGTTGTCTCAAAGGGTAATAGATCCTTCTTTTTTTTTAGAGCTACATAAAATTTCATTGTGTAAATGTAACACAGCTATTTTATCCACTCATCTATTGATGGGCACTTGGGCTGTTTCCAGATCTTAGCTATTATAAATAATGCTGCTATGAACATAGGGGTGCATATATTCTTTCTGGTTGGTGTTTGGAGATTCTTAGGATATATTCCTAGAAGTGAGATCACTGGGTCAAATGGCAGTTCCAGTTTTAATTTTTTTGAGGAAATTCCACAGTTTTCCATAGTGGTTTTACCCACAGTAGAGGTTCTTTCAAAGTTGAAGTCAGTCCTCTCACATTCTGCCATTGCTTTATCAACTAAGTTTATGTGATAATCTAAATCTTTTGTCATTTCAACAATCTTAATAACACCTTCACTAGAAGTAGATTCTGTCTCAAGAAACTACTTTCTTTGCTTATCCACAAGAAACAGCTTCTCATCTACCTATTAAAGTTTAATCATAAGATTGCAGCAATTCAGTCACATCTTCAGGCTCCACTTCTAATTCTAGTTCTCTTGCTGTTTCCACCACATCTGCAGTTATTTCCTCTAACTTTGGAAGTCTGGAACTCCTCAAAGTCATCCATGAGAGTTGGAATCAACTTGTTCTAAACTCCATTAATGTTCAAATGTGGAAAACCACTAAGAAATGCATTTTGTAAGGTTATAGCTGCCATAGATAGTGATTCCTTTGATGGATCTGGGTAAATTGAAACTTTTTGGAAATAATTCACCATTCTATTTGCCATTAAGAACATTCATAATTCATGAGAACAGGTGTCCCAGCTGGTGGCTGAAGCCACTGTGGGGTCGGAGAGGTGGCTCTCGATGAGCAGAGGCAGGAGACCAGCAGGAGAGAGCTCTGCGCCCCTCCCCCCACCCCCTCTATTTGTCTCC